TGGGGGGGGCGCTCCCGATGATCCACACTAACTCCTTTCCCAAAAAAGTTTTCACAGCTCTTTCTTCTGATGCTTTTAGGAGGTTCGATCCACATTTAGGAACAAACGAACTCCGCCGAAGAAGCCACCAGTCGCCCTACAAACCACGGATAGTAACAATGCCTTCGGCAAGCTGGTTTATCGGTCGGTCAATTATAACTCTCTTTACACTCTTCTGAGAAACTACAAGGCAACTGACCATTCCATCAAGACATAAATAGAGCCCAAGGAACCATTGTTCCCTATTTATAGTGCAAGAAGTTTGAAGTCTGAGTCCCAGAGGCCATATGTACACCCTGCTTACGACGGCTAAAGAGCGCTGAAAAGGACTCTTTTCCAATTGCCTTCAACCAGTCATGGTGCATCACTGATCTACCAACCACAGTAAGTAGCCGAATTAATATTACTAATCATCGAGGTACCGCAAGTGTCATACACCTCAATTCTTCTATGGCATTTGACCGCGCCAACCGCAGCTGCCGCATCAACGATTCGGGTCTGATTAGAGTCGAGCCTCGTTCATTCGATCAGCTATCATCCCATTTAAATGACACCCATGTTGAAGCTTAACCTTATTTTTTGTAAGCCAGATGTAAGCAACGACAGCGGTTCCAATCAAGTTCCAGCCCGAGCAAACGGATGTGGGCGGACGTTACTTCTATTAGATCAAAATCTCAAAGATCTTATACTGATCAGTAACCGCCGGCAGACTGTAGAGCAACAACAAGAGGCAAGCAGAAAACATGGTACAGGACCTGAAGTTTTGTAATTAGTTGCCCTCGTCCACATGCAACATTTGCATATATTAACAAAATTGGCCTGAACGCCGACGTAAGTTGGTAAGCCGAATATTCGCAAAATATCCAAATGAAGGCGCTCAGAGTCGGCGTCAATTTCAACCATCTTCGGAGAGATAAGTTACTCTAGGGAGATCTCCAAGGTCTCGATTCCAGAGCATCTTCTGTTCCTGATGTACACGAGCGATTTGCCTTAGCTGGTACTTTCGGAAATACTTATCGTTGTTGGTGTGAAGCCGCGTAGAAAAGCTAAAGGTGGGAACGGCAGACTCACTTTGCCAGACGATTTTACCTGACTTCAACATTTGGCGGACTACAGTGGATCACCCCTCAAACTCGATGTGTTCGCTGGTGCACCTACGGAATGACATATGTCACACATTCAGACTGAACGACAGATGAGGACACGTTGGGTAGAAAAAATCCTGGGGTCCTAGTTCTCGATGATCTTAAGTCTTAAGGTGACCGAGAAAAAAGAAGTCCTGTGCAGACCTATCACCTGTAAACCTACAGAGAGCGGTCACAAAAGTTTCCATGAGATCTTGAACGGTTTCTTTGAGCCCTTCTCAGAATCCGCAGCAACTGTCTTTGCGGCGACACTTCAAACGAACAAGAACCACCTTGAATTCATCGACAGGAGCTAGGGTTCAAACTATGCTAAGAGCACGTGGCATCACCTGATTTATATTCCCTGGAGTATAATCGACTGGAAGATGACCTGATAATACTGTATGAATTTTAGGTACTTCATGTCACCAGCCAGGCTCCGACACGACTGTTAAGGGGAGCACTCGGAAGCAAAAACCTGAGTGTGGTGAGGTGGGCATCCGGTATGCCTTTCGCCAGCCAAGAGTTGTTGTTGGAATTCTCTTTATATGGAGTTTGCTCAGGCTAAATTGTCAGGCATTTAAATACTAAATCGTTGTCACCTTACGGTCACAGCGTCAGGTTGTGGAATTAATCACTAGTAGCCCACTCACTTTCTTTTATTTATTCTTTTTTGTCGTACCTATATTCTCAGAAACGTGAAGCAATTGTTCGCCCGTTCTAGACGTAGAAGCGAAGGCATCGCATATTTACTATCGGCCACCTGAAAGCATTTTAGTTGCGTTATGTAACCCTGGCCCGGAAATTATACTAACAGGAAAACACTGGAATTTCTGAATCCTCAGTTTTCAATTAACTCTGATCAGCATTTTTAAGGCTGCGCTAAAGTGACGTGGTGCTTAGATTAGTAAGTAACCCGAAAGCTAGTACATCACTGAATCCTCGAGGCTGTCAACGGTATTGGCTGACGTTAGTCACCCACCACTCACACGACATTTAATTCGCCTGCATCGCAGGTTCGACTGGGTACAGAGTAAAACATGCCGTGGCACGCCCCATATTCGAGAATGGCAGTGGCCAACTACTTACCAATCATCGCCCAGTTGATTTGACCTGCACGGCTGTAAAAGTTAAAAGTTAAATAATAACGGACAACCTACTAGGGTGTGTGGTAGCACGTCACCTGTTAGAACGGCACCAAAACGGCCTCCAACCCGGACACCCGGGCCTGAAGAACTTACTTTTAGCCAAGGAAGAACGAATGGAAGCAAAATGTAGTAAACTGCCCGCTGATGTAGAGCTTGGCGACTACAACAGAGTATTTGATAAAGCGTCCCGCTTGGGCTTCTTAAAAAGGCTCTTAAATCTAGAAGCCCATAGGCATGGGTGGGCTAGGAACTGCCTGCGCGATAAGAGGCACAAGGTTAAATGAATGAAGTATCATCTAAATGAAGATCAGCTGATACTGGGGTTCCCCCCACCACTGTACAAGGGACCTCTACGCCGCTGCATGGATTAACAGTTATCCTCCAGTCATTATCCTCTCTATTTGCGGACAAAGTAAAGGCTTGGAGGGTTGTTCATGATGATGAAGACAGTTGAGCATTCCAGAGTGACCTAGGTGAACTTACCGAGTGGTTTAGTTGCTAAAGCCTGGGAACCAGCTCTAGCAAAAGTGCGGTAATGTACATTGGTCAGGAGTCGTACAACTTTCAATCATAAGATGGGTCGGTGTTGCCTCGCGTTGGGGAACAAAAGGATCTAGGGGTTTGTTATCAGCCATAACTTGGAAACAAAAGCACACTGTAACGTAGCTGCACCTTAGGCATTCCAAGTGCTGGGGAGACTCTATGGGGGCTTCAGGTGCTTCGATCAAGAAATATTTAGCATCCTTAATCCTTCTTGTATGATTCAACATTCGAAATGCATTGTTAATATTCGGGTAGGGCCTCATTATGAATACTACACACAGGCACCTAGTCGTTGCCTCAATAAAGAACCAGGCACTTTGGGGAAAGTGGGTGCTAACCTAGTGATTGAACCTTGGCAGTTACCATATGAAAATGGTTGGAAAGTTTTGGTTTTCCCATTATCGTACCGTAAAGTAGGAGAACTCATATTGGCGTATTGTAACCTGAATGATAAAGAACTCCGGCTTAAATGACTGTCGACGTGATTTTTTGCCTGGAAGATCATGAAACACAAACTTGTTGTTAACCAGAAATAGCCGGACTCTCTCTATTGGGCAGAGAAAGCCCATTCACACTCAACTACCTGACCTTTCTTAGGCCTTTGAAGGAGTAAGTTGTGATACCCCGTGTGAGAAACTTCAGCTTGTGGGTGTACATGGAAAATTATTAATTTGGCCGAAGGATTATCTTTACACTGGGCTACAGTCAGAATCGATTCCTCTTTATCCAAATGGTTCCCGATGCTAAGCGGTGTGTCTCAATGTCCCATTCTGGGTCCACTGCTTTTTTCTGCTTTCGTCAGTGACGTACCAGCGTCCTCAATTCTCATTCGCCATTACATGCCAATGATCTGGAGATTTGGAGGGAAATACAGATACCAATGGATATTTTGGTTCTCCAGGAGAGCCTCATGAAAATCTTAAGTTGAACTTCAGAAAGCCTCCTCCCTCTCAGCTCGAAGAAGTGTAAGGTGATGACTGTTGACAAATATGGACATTTTTTCAGTTCTTACCCTCTAGGTGAAATAAATGTCTGTCACTCAACCAAGGAACAAGATCAACGGATGGTTTCGAGTGACACACTTGGTGCTTCAGTCCACTGTAGCCTTGCAGTCAACAAGGCCTGTGGAGCCTCAGGGTTTCTTTCGCAAACTTTGGGAAATGTAACTCCTCTTTCCACTACTGTGTGGACTATACGCTTGCTCGTTATGTCCTCATGCTTGAAGAAGCACACAGCCATCATGGAACGGGTTCAGAAAAGATCTACGAGGAAAGTGATGGCGTTACGGTACAAACCATATCTACATCTCTTAATTGCTCTCAGTCTGCATCCAGTACAATGCCGCAGGATCAGAGGAGATATAACCATGATGTACCACATCACCACAACTCCCTTAATCCCAGCGGATCCCACTTAAGCACTTATCAGGGACGTCACGTTGAGGGTTTATCCGTTAAGAATAGAGCATGAGAGAGCACGTACCAGGATCCGTGCTAACCCGTTTGAAGTTAGGGTTTCTAAACTGTGCGACTCCCTTACTCCAGCGGTTTTCACAGCCCCATCCCTGGTAATTTCAAAAGGAGGTTAGATGCACATCTAGAGCCTTGTGGTACCGATGAGCTGTGCTCCAGATGCTTTCCGTCATCTACAGACCAGGAGTAGTGCTACCTTGATACCAGATTAATTGATAGTCGGTTATCTCTATCCTTTCGGGTTTTTCGGAACCGGAAAGACGACTGCAACCATCTTAAACTCAGAACGTACCCCAATAAGACAGACATAGAACCCAAAGAACCATCGCTCACTAATTCTACAACACGAAGTTTGAAGGATTGCTTCGGTGCTGATTTCTCTGATTCTTTCGCTCCTTCGAGGAATGATTATCTAAGAGGTCGCCACGAAGCAATTCAACAGCTGGTGTCAAATCAACTGTGAAAGGGGCTAAAATTCCTTCACAGAGTGAGTAATAATTAAAACCTATTGTGGGAACTTATGCTTGTAGCTTATTTGATGAACAAACTCAAGGCGGACATGGATCTCAATAGGGATTTATGGTGGCAGGATTAATGTATACTACTCGATCTGGCACCCTTAAAACTAAAAGCTAAACGTATAAATCAAAGTTTGTTTTAAAGTATCATACGAAGTCTTGTTGGTTATTCAAACCTCTGCTCTGCAACGCGTTATTGCTGAGTATGGTAAGGATTACAGCGGAAATAGTTGAGAACGCACCACAGTTCACAAATGCAATTAAAGACCGAGAGCTTGATCTTAGAAGTTATAAATTTCCTGCTATCGAGAATCTAGGATGTACGCTGGATCAGTTTGATACTATCGACCTTTCAGAAAATGAAATCAGAAAACTAGATGGGTTTCCTCTTTTGAAACGGCTCAAGTCTTTAATACTAACAAACAACAAGGTGATTAATACTCAAAATTTCTCATATATTTGTGTTTGGATGCTACTATTGCCATATGCGTAGTTCTAGTTTCTTAGCGACTCCATCGAAGTGATGTTTGTACTCTTAGTTTGTCTATGCTTTCTGATCTAAATCGAAAGGCGATATCTGAATGTATGGTGTTAGTTGATGTAGTCTGTTTCAGTTTATTTGATCACAGACTCGAACATTCTTATCATGACGATACTGGCCTTGTGGAAACCGCTTACCTTTAAAATGTTTGAGGCTTCCGAATGCTATTCGTGCACGTAGAGATAGTATGCCAAGTTATTAAGTTCATGTATTTCGAGTCATATTTCTATAGATATAGTGAGAAACAGGCTAACTGGTTTTTTCACGGTTTATATTCAGATATCAGTGTGCATATGAGCACTATTATATGAAGGTAAATATGATGTCAGAACATGTAGTGCAGTTTTATATTTTCTTTGGATTCTAGAAAGGTCCAGTTATACTGTTCAGATCTTGCCTCACGATATGGTATGCATTTAAGTGTCATCAGAAAGCGTCGTACTCAACTTATCTGCTTTCACACATTGCACCCTATGTTTTTGAGTAAGTTGGTTGTGCTGTCTATGTCCGCTTAGTTATCAAAGCTCCACATTTAGGCAGATTAGTGCAAGACTTGTCCGAAAATCCACCTTCTAACTTTTGACTGCGAAATACATCTAACGCCGCTCGATCCAGGACAGGTGGTAAGCTATGAGCTATAGTGGAGCTGTGCTTATTGGTTTAAGGTGATTTTCGGCCAGTGGGCTGCGGGTTTGAGTCCTGCTCAACCCGTCGAGGGTCAGGCAGTTAGGTAGTGCTATTAGCACTCAAGATATACGTGGCTCATTGCCCACTGGGCGAATATGCACAAGGTTGTTGAGTGTATTTCAACTGTTCCAGTGAGCGGTTATGGGAGCTTATCATGTCATGTGGTGTAGACTTGAATGCGAGAAGCAAGGTTTGAACGCGAAACCCCTTTTTTGAAAGCCAATTGCTTAAACCTATGGACCACCCTTCTTCTGTGCGTTTGCATTCTTCACTCCTATGACTCTGTACGTTGTTTGCCAGGATTGTATATTTCTGCATGGAGACAAAGAGTTTGAATGTGACCAGTCACTTGGCATCCGGTACTCACTAGTAGGAGAAACGCCTCACTAACTAGACTAAATGATACTAACTTCTGAGTTTAGTATTTTAGGGATGATGGTTTCCGGTTCACGTGATCGGATTGGTATAAACTAAGAGTCACAAACATCAACTAGGAATCATGCCGTCTTGTGCAGTATATCGTACTCTAAACTAAACGTACTTAATGCATGGCTTTCGTGATTCTCATACTACTGTTTGGAGGAGCGGCAATTTTAACTAATACACTTGTCAACTGATACAGTAGCATATCAGATTAAACTTTTTCCATGTTTGGTTTCGGATCGCCCATGTCAGTTGGTCATTTCTTCAATGCTAAAGTCAACGCGGTAGTAGTGCCCTCTGAGTGTCCAGTTGCGGTTTTTGTGATCTCTTGTATTATAGTCAAGGTAGGATTTTGCTGCCTCTGAGACTAATCGTAGTTAAAGTAGAGGCTCAATAGTTTTTGGCGTTTATAAGCGTACTTCACTTAAGTGATGCTCGTAGTATGACCTGGTCAGATAAACAAATCAACGTAGAACCTTGCACACATTTTCATTGGTTCAAAGTGCTATACTTCTCAAAGAAAAAGTGAGTAAAAAGGAGTAGATCCAAATTAGAGGAAGTTGTGTGACAGAATAAACAATCGGAAATAAAGGTTAGCGCAAATATTCAAGCTTTGAAAGGAGTCAAAGAGTGGCCGATTTTGCGACACGTCACCAAGACTTCTCAACCACTGATTCCTATCACCTCAGAGACCCTAGCTAGGTAGTCTACACCTCCATACGCACCTCAGATCAACAATCAGGGACTTTGTGGCCTGGTGATACATCTCATTCTGGCAACTCTGAACCCTCTTCCAACCTAATACAGCTTCCATTAGCATAACACGTCGAGGTAGAGAGTGACTCGGCTTGTGCGGTTCATGTCCAAGCCATCTCATTCGATGGAGGCTCGCAACCTCATCAATCACTTAATACCCTTCACCTAACGTCAAGATTGCTTGCCCGGTAATTCCACCTTAGGCTGGCAATGCTGCGAATATATCTGTAGTCGAAACCTTGTGACCAATTCATGTCTTCTACTTCTAACAGCCATGACAACCGTATAACAGGACAGGACGGAATGCAGTGGCGCAGTTTACTCATCGTTTAGTAAATTATTATTGGTTTCATTATGGCTTTGATGATAATTATTATTCAGTCACAAAAGTGACACAGCGAAGACACCAAGAAATGCGCCACAAAATAATAGAGCATTATAAAGACGTAAGAAGATGGGAAGTAGACAAGTAAGAACGAAAAACAGTAAGAGTTGGATGATTAGAAGGGCAGTCCGGTAAGATACATTCAATTTAAACATTCATTACTTTTCAGCAGCAGAAAATTGGAGGAAGCTACAGCATAACCGCCACTGGTTTTGATTCTGATCTACATATGATAACGTCTCAAGTCACTGAGTGGCGTCATTCCTCAGACCCCACCCAGGGAGGGAGTTGTGACGCACCAACAGATGCCAACACGATACAAATATCCTTCATCCCACGGGGCCATGTCATACACTGATCATCCTTTACTTCTTCCATCTAGTCACAGGGCTGCCAAACAACAAACGGTAAGGAAGCCGTTCGGGTGACATGCGTAACACGTGTCCAAACCACTGAAACTAGTGTTCGCAGATGATTTTACTCATTGAATGACGATCTCGATCATTCCCGAGCACACACTATAATACCTCAGGATTACTTACATGGTGTTGCCACTGGCTACGAGCAATCCTACGGAGACAACGATGATTGGACACAGAGTCGTTGCACATCAGCCCATAGAGGCCAGGTTTCACAGGCATAAAGCAGAACTGCTCGCATGAAAGTGTTGTTAACCCGACCTTTTACGGTCAGACTAGCATCGCTTCAACTCAAAAGTTGGCTGAGATTGTTGTATGCTGCTCTGGCTTTCGATATGCAGTTGGAAATTTCATCACAACTGCCCAGATACACAAACTTTTCGAATACTTCCAATCGCTTACCACAGAGGGTAGGCGTAGACAGGGACTCCTACCAATGTTGCAAAAGTACTTTTAACTTCTATGATGCAATGCACGCACCGTACTTACGAACACCAGTCCTCAACTGATTAAGTGCAATTTGAGTAGCCTGTGTTATCACCCACGCAAACGATATTGTCTGCATTTTCAAGGGCAAATAGCCGTTCTGCGGACAATAGATCTATACCGCCATCACGCACCTTCAGAGCTGTCTCAAGAATTTTTTCGATGGCAAAGTTAAAGAGGAATGGAGAAATTGGGCAGCCCTGCCTAACCCCACTGCTGGTTTGGAACAATGGAGACAGATGGCCGTATGCCCTCACTCTACCTGAGGTGTTAATATATATAGGGCTTTCAAGATGTTAATAAATTTCTCAGACACATCTGTCTCCAACAGACAGTTCCAGAATACAGCTCTTCAACAAATCGAAGGCAGCCCTAATGCCAGGAAACACAACGATTGTTGGCCTGCAATACGTTTGGTGATGTTCAGGCATCTAGCGGATGGTAAACACATGATCAATCCATCCACGACCTGAATGAAACCCGTTCTGACCACTAAGTCTCACTTTCCTTGCGTAAGCGTTGTGTAATCTTCCACATGAGAAACGCAAACCGTCGTACTCAGTATCCGCCGGAATGGCCTGACAGGCGTCAAGAAGTTGCAAGGAGCTCGCTTCACCATCCTCCTCTCTTCTATCAGCTTCCATGTATCCATTGAGATCCACTCCTTATCTTCTTTCTTCTTCCTTCCTAACACGGTTGTACAGATTTCTTTCCACATCCCTTTCAAAAAGTTTCAGTGCTCATCCACATGGGTTTCTCAGGGGATGTTGCTCGATATCTCCCATTTCATCTTGATGGCCGACGTGAAGATGTCCCTTGTAGTTTCGTCCCTCAGTTTCCGAGTGTTGTACCTGAACTGTGGTCTGTCACCAATTTTCTCGAAGACTTTTAGCTTGATTTGGAAGGTTCCTTGCATTAGATAATGATCTGAGCCTACATCTCCTTCTCTTCTTGGCCTTGTGTCTAGTAGACTGCGTCTCCACTTTCTTCACATCGATATGAAGTCGATCTGATTTGTAGTGTGTTCTGATGTCTGGTGAAATCCGTGTCGCTTTGTGGATATCTCTGTACTTGAACACACTGCCTCCAATCACCAAATCATTGAAGGCACAGAATTCTGCAAACAATTCTCCATTCTCGTTCATCACCTCGCCGAGCGCTTCTCGACCCATGGTTAGTTCTCTTCCGGTGTTGTCCCCTCCCGGTTTGGCATTCATGTCACCCAAACCACTAGAACTTTGATGTCGCCAACTGTAGTCTTGTCCAGTATTGATTGCAGTTGTCTGTAGAATTCCTCCTTTTTCTCTTCATCTGCATTATTTGTAGGTGTGTGGCGTTGTATGATTGTGACCTTCCTTCCTTTTGAGTTGAACCTTGCCGTCATGATATTGGAGGAGATTGGTTCCCACTGCATGACAGCCTTCGATGCTGTTGGGGATATCATGATAGCCACCTCCTGAGTGTGCTCGCGGTTGTCGTCTGGGTGACCGGAGTTGACAGTTTAGACAGTCCATTTCCATTCCATCTGCTCTCACAAACTCCTAGCACTTCGAAGCCATGCTATACCCTCTCATCTCCTTTGCAATCTAGGCAGCCTTGCTAGGTTCAAACATAGTGCGGACATTCCATGTCCCCACGTTTACTTTCGGTTTTGCCGAGAGAAGACACATCGGCCAACTGGCGTCATTTCCCCTCTCCGGTTCCAGTGAGGAATAAGTTTGTTTTTATTTTTT